CATATTCTGCCTACTTCCTAGTCAGCATCTAGATCCTTCCTGAGCTTCCTTCTTATGCTTAATGCTTCTTCAATATGCTGAGGTGTGTCAAAGCTATCGGGCACCACGAGCTACGACTTCCTCAGTCGACCTGAGACATTATGTCGAGTCGACTGGGTCGCACTCAACTGTTAGTAGACCCTAATACGTCTGACCATTGTCTTACCAGAAGTCGACTTACTCCAGTCGACAGGTGTACATTGGCTCGGTCGAGAGCCGGGCCTCTTGACTGAGTATCATGGAACCTTACTAATAGAGTCGACTTTGCTGAAGTCGACTCAGTAATCTCAAACCGTGACGATATGAACCGTTGTGAGCCAATCGCGGCAATGCCGCGGTTACTGAACCGATGCACGACAGTATGGCCATATCACTATGCGACAGACATACCAAGTTAATTGAGCAAGTGCGAAATAATTATACGATAAATATACAAAAAACAGACGAATATAATTGAACAAGTGCTATCTCATTATGCAATAAACTATGCGACAGAAAAGCAAAAATAATTGAGCAAGTGCGAAATGATTATGCGACAAACTATGCGACACAGACAAAGATAATTGTGCAAGTGCGATCCCATTATGAGATAAAATATGTGACAGATATGCGAAGTTAATTGAGGAAGTGCGTAAACATTATGCGATAAACTATGCGACAAATAGTCGATGAATATGCAGAGAATTCTGTGAACAGTTTGGTCAATCGCAGGTTTGCCGCAATTTAGTCATATATCAACTTGTTATACCTGTTTTAACTTTTTTATTTTTCAATTTCTTCTCAATTTTTAACTTTTCGTGTAAGCTCGAGAGCGTGTTTCTGCCGATAGGGTCGGTTTTTTATGAAGACGAGATCGCCTTGGCGTTCTTGGAGAATTACAAGAAAAACTGCATTTGGCGACGCTTATTAATGACGCTTATTTGCGAGTTGTGTTGCTAAATTTGATGTCAGAAAAAAATAAGCGTCAGTAAACAAAAAATAAGCGTCAGTAAATTTGATGTCAGAAAAAAAAAAAGCGTCGCCAGAAGCAGTTTTTCTTGTAGTGGCAGGAGTTTTGCATGTGTTGTAATCATGATTCTTATTATTATTATTATTATTATTATTATTATTATTATTATTATTATTATTATTACTTTTGACTAATTGTGGAATTCTAAAAGTAAGTTAGAAAATCTAAGTAATTCAAAAGTCTTGTATGTAAAAACTAAGAAGATAGATAGTTTTGGTGGGGATCGAGAAGTCTTATGAAGACTATAAAAACTATATATGAATGTATCTCTTAAAAATGAAGCGGTTGATATTGAAAAAAATTACAAATTATCGTAAGTTTGATACTCGTATATCCTTTCGTTTACGCTTCTATTTGCATTAGTTGTATCCAGAGTCTAGTACGATCTGAAGATGCCGCCAAGGAGAAACGACATGACCGACGATCGGCGTGACGCTGCAATCGAATCTTTGAATCGCCAAGTCGAGGGTTTCAGATGGCAATTTCAAACGATTGGTCATGACATGGCAGACCTTACGACGGGCATGGAGGCTTTTTGTCTGACTCTCTAGACTGTGTTGGAACGTGAGCAAACGAACCGCGCCGAACATGAGCATATGCGTGTGGGATGCGTGTGGGACGGATCGCCACATTTTTCGTCTGACTCTCGCAGAGGGATGCGTGTGGGACGCAGGGGTCGCAGTCGCGTTGGGGCTGGTGGCGTTTGGTCACCGCGGTGGGAGGAGGACGGCGACTTTGACACCACGGTAGAGGAGTTTAACCCGTTCGAGGTGACGGATCATCGAGAGGATGACGACGTGCATGGTGACTTGAATTTCTTTTAGGTGGCGAGGAAGAAGAATAGTCCCGTAACTCAAAATAGAACCTGCTCCTCTTTCCTTGTCATGGTAATTACGAAAGGCAGGGGACTCTGACCATTCGTTTTGCGACGACACGCCAGTCTTAGTTAAGGAATCCCAGGATTTAGACCCCAATGAGTGCATGCCACATAAGCGGTAGGCATAGTAATATGTGTCTACCGTGGGTAGGTGAGTATTACTTATATCTTACAGATATTAACATACTATATATGTCGCTTGTACTAAATAATTGAATTTTATACGGTAGTTAGTCTTTTACTTCTTGTAAAACAATGAATATGTGAAGAAGACTTGAAAATAACAAGATGCCTACATACAAAGGATCATGGACATTCTAACGAGGATCTAAAGAGGCTTTGAAAAGATTTACTGTAGGATCACTTAGATATGGATGATATACTTGTTGACGGTCGTAACCGTCAACTTTCCCCTCTTGGGGGCCAGACCTCCGGTGGGCCATGACCATAATGTCAAACCAGCATCAGTAGCCAGTATGCATAGCCTTCAACCAGCATGCACAGAAAACCATTTACTGTCAAATAATATGTGCAAGAATAAAAGCACACAGCAATATAAATAAGTTGGACCCATCTTCACAACTTACAGTGAAAATAGTCGAGTCTTGCTACAATGCTGCAAACACCCCATAAGTTCCAAACATTTAGTTTAGATTATTAAAATCTTATGTCAATAATTCCAGGTCTGAAACTACATCTAAAGATCTAACCAGTGTTCATTTAATCTATAGGAGCAGTATATACCTCGCTCCAAGACTAAAAAGTCTAATTTCCCCATAGCCTCTACTTAAAACATCGAAACAAATAGTCTCCCAGAGTTCCAGTGTGTACATCATCCAGTAGATGACTCTCCAGTATTGCAATCATTATACTAAAAGCATCATTTGGACACTCACTGCAAGTTTACTTTGCAGAAATGCAGGTCCTTATTTTGAAGGTCGCACAAAAGATTAGGACCCAAAAAAGTAGAAAATAAAACCATCTCCTGGAGATTTCCATTGCAGTTTTCCCTTGAAGTATGCTCAGACTGGATTCCAGGCTAGCGGAACCATCATCCCTTTGTGAAAAGCCAAATGAGAGAACAATGTTGAAGTTCTGGGGCTTGCCCAGTGATTGGCTGCCATCAGTGTTCAAATTACTTATCTGAATCATGCCAGCAGTGACATGAACTGAACTGGACGGTTGGGATAAGGAATCGAGGCGAAGCACCGCATCTTTTGACGGGAATTCAGCAGCAAAGGCCGGCGGGGCTGGAATGCTACCCAGCATATGGCTTGCCTTCTTGAATAAAGGATACTGTGCATCTGCACAATTGGAGAACCCAAGTCAGATGACGATATACTGTGAATGAATAAATAAATAAAAGTTAACCCTGAGGTTTAGCTTAGTTTAGAATACCAACAATTAAGTAAAAAAGATCAGATTTGAAAATCATGCATACTGCCCTAGTGACATAATGAATAACCAAGCATTTCCGTTGTATTTTTCAGAACTACACCTGGCTAAAATTGCCCAAAAAAAACCTTTTGGCATTTGCATCTATCAAACAGACCCCTCACTGGGGGTGCAATTTGAAAAAAACATTATGGGATTAGTTATAGTTACAAAAAGACACTTCACCAAAGCTTTTGCTACCTGAATCATATTTGGCAGAATCCAGCTTATCAGATGGCAACTCAGCATCGATGCCATCCTTAATAAGTTGCCCCTTATGCACACTTGACTGATCAGTCCAATCGTTCAGATCCTGGCAATGAATAAATAAATAAAGATGGGTCAAAGATCTGTAATATTTTTAAGCATGTAAAACGAGTATATTCAACTTGCAAATACCTCTGTAGCAACCAGTGCCTGATCAGAAACAAGATCCTCCGTTCCCCACATCAGTGAAGGATCAAATGCAAACGGCTCCACACTGTTCTCATTTGCATCAAAGAATGTAAGGTACTCATCAAGCATATCAAATGCGGAGGTATTATTGTCAACGGGATTTGTAAGATCATCAGCTTGAAAAAGTCCTCCATTGCCGTGAGGAAGCCCATCCGGAGCATCAACAAATGGTTCATCAAGTAAGTAATCCAAATCATCAGATGGCTCCTGAGATTTGCTGGATTCTCCAATATATTCGTGCTTAACTGCCCTTACAACCATTTCATGTGGGGCATGTGGATCATACAAGTTCTCATCCTCATGCTGTTGCTCAAGTTCACCATATTCTTCACCAGCAGCTTGCAATAGCTTTGGGGTGTCATCAACAGACTCTGCAGTCTGCTCGTCAAGTTTGCTGTAGGCAGATTGGGGATTTAATGGAGGAGAAACATCAGATGGAAGATCTGTTGATCCAAGAATCTGACATAGGAAAAAATTAGCAGAAAACCATGAAATAGAACTAATGCATATCAAATGTTATTAAAGAAAATCAATTATATGCAAAGATGATAATTTCATAGGAAGAAGATGGCCCACCTAACAGAGTTCCATAATCAAATTCAAATGCAATTCTTAGACCGACCAATGGAAACAGGTACATGTTTTCCAATGTAATTCAGTGAAATTCCATCTTTTTGCACAGTAAATTTTACCATAACTTTTGTTTTAGGTTAAAGAGGATCAACATACTACTATACAAAGATATAAATATCTATCTATATCAATCTATCTCTATATAAAAAGAGAACTAAGCAAGTAATAATCCATAATCAGTAGGCATGCAAATGAAAGGTTACAGAAAACAAGTAAATCCTTAATACACGGCAATTTCTTAAAGCAACATATGCCCAAGACATTTATTTGACTTCATATACAAGAAAACTTTTTATTAACATTACCTTTCTGGCCTGAAGAAAATATAGCTAACAAAGAAAGAAAATATTGCAAATAAGTAGGATAACGTTCAGAATAGCCAACAAACCATGCAGCAGTGACTTTGATTCATATTGAAACGCAAAAACTTCATTACTATTGCCACTATTGCTCCAATCTTGCGAGCAACTTCTGTTTCTTCATTTCACGAGGCAATTCCTATTTCCTTCTTTTATCAGAAAGCATTACTATTGCCACAAATATTTCTCTCAAAGTCTTTACTTCTAAATTTTCAGATTTAAGTAATAGAATCCAGAAGCCGCCACGATGATGTGCCACATAACTCTGTAATTAAAGATCATATACCAATAGTACACTTCTAGTGGAACAGACCATGTGGAAAAAAAATAAGTCTCGATTCTGTACTGTATGCAGGTAGGCCTCATTAATTTTGGAGTGTTGAGTGTAGTAACGGGTGTGGAGTAACTATAGCACTAACCTGCTCAAGATCATCGCCATCCAAATAAGCATCACCACCAAAGTCAACTTCTTCTGCAATCTCAGCTTTTGGAACAAATTCCAATTCATCATCCTCCCACTCCTCGTCCATAAAAGGTGCTCCATACTTTTCACCGTTCTTTGGCCCAGAACCACTCTTCTGAAAGATTCGGCAAAGCACGAATGCATCCTACCCCAACAAAATATGCAACAGTTCATAAAGGAATCTTCACAAACAGACAATGATAATGTAGACAAGGAAAACATAAATACTCATAAAAATAACACTGATTGCCGCAATAACATGACAATACTGGTGCGATTTCAATTTGGGTATGAAGGATCAATCCTTTTCTTATTCATTAAAATTAAGTTTGCCCATGTTCCAGATAACATTCATGTGTAATTCCTTCAATTTTTTTTTTTTTTATTTTTTATTTTCAAGATAGCCCTAAGATCATGTTTCAACGGCAGCATTCAGACAAAACATGTCATGTGAGGAGATCATACCTGAACGATCCCAGCTCTCTCCAGCTCCAGGTCAGCAAGTTTGTACTCATGCATAACCCAGTTAGTCCTTTGCCCCTTAGGGGCACGGCCAATATGATAAACAAGTGTTTTCTTCATTCCAACAATTTGTGATTTATGGTAGACAGCCCTGTCTTTTCCAGTGGTCTTCCAATATCCTTTTTCAGTAGCTCGATTGGTCCTTGCTCCATTACCATACTTCTTGTCCAGCACACTGAAGAAGTACCACTCCAGATCTCTAGTCCTCAGCTTCGAGAAACCTACAAGAAACGGGCCATTAATCTCCAGATTATTACAATAACATGATGTCTAAAAAGATGCAACAGCAATTACATGCAGAATGTCAGATCAAATCATAATGGAAAGCAAGCCAATCATGTCGAGCATGATTTTATAATTTGCTCATCAAACTGAGGTATAACTTTGATATGGAAAGAATACCACGGACATCCAAATGAAACATTTTTCTTATAAAAAAGTCCAAAACAGAATAGCTTTTCTTTTCACATATCTTCTCATATTCTGCAGAGGAAAAAACAAACAATGCAGAAGAATGACCCAAAGGATGAAATCAAAATTTATGAACTATTTTGCATCTCCTTATGCAATAATAAACGTTGCGTGAAACAACTGCAGCAGTGAATTAAAGTGAGAAACTAATAGCATTTCCAACTATAACTGCACAAACTTAACAGTGCATACCCTAAAAGACGACTTACCATTATGCGGTACATTCTTTAAAAACTGAGACCAGGTGAAAAAGGATCACAATCAAATGAATGAATTAACTTGTGACCAGTGATGCAAAATAGACTCTCAAATCTTACTCAATCCTAAAGTATATAAATCTGGCATCAAACCCATTACAAGAAGATCGGATCTAAGTTAAAACTCCAACATAGCAACACATTTATTTCTCTCCCTACATGATTAACTACTGAATTAATCAGAATTGGGAGACGATCAGAACTGAAGCACAAAACCCCCAAAAAGAGTAATCAAACACCCAACTGAAGCAGAACGCAAAATCAAACTGCAAAGACGATCTATTTGGCAAAAACAACGCAAAAAAGAAGAACCCATCAATAAGAAGAAAAAGAAAAGGCAACCAAATGGGTCTTCAACTGAACCCTACACGCCGGTCGAACAATAAACGAAACAAGGCAAGCTAAAGTGGAGTTAAAGGGGCGGCGGCGCATACCCGGCAGATCCCAAGGCTCGACCTTGTAGATATCGACATCAGTAATTGCATCAAATCGAAAACCCTTGCCGCAGACCTTTCTTCTGAGATAGTAGCGCACCAACTCCTCATCCGTCGGGTGGAAACGGAAACCTGGAGCTAGCAGACTCGACGATTTGTTCTTGGCTACAGCAGACAGCTCCATACACAAAATTGACCGAGGGTTCGAGTGGATGGGGTTTGGGGCTTAATGGGAAAATAGAAGGTAATCTTGCAGAGGAAGTATAGATTAGACGAAAAGCCAGCGCAATAGCGTTTGTGTCTGTAGAAAAAATATGGTCGTATCAATACTTGTCAAAATAATATCAAAATATTGTTGTGTAGCAACGCATGAGATCTGCGTGGTGGCGCAAGTGCGTTCGTCAACACGAAGCTGAGTTGGTGTGTGGTTTGACTCTCGCCATGTATGGTGAGAATTGGTCGGTACGGTTCGAAGATTGATAATTTTTTAGAATCGTACCAAACTTCGGAGATCCCAAAATTCGATCTCCAGAACCGTACCAAAAAGTCGGTTCCATTCGGTTCGGAGATTTTTATTTTTCGGTTCAGTTCGGTTCGGTATTTGAGACTATTGGGACGGTTCGGTTCGGTATGGTTTGTTTCGGATCTTCAGAGATTTTTTATAAAAAAATTATTTTTGAATGACTACCTAGTTATATTTTAATTTTTATATGTTTTAAGAAAAAACATTCATCAATAATTCATCATATTGAAGATTTTATTTTGAAATCAATTATAGAAGTAACTCTAAATTTTAGTTATTTAATTTTTATATGCGTTAATAAAACCAACATTCATCAGTACTTCCTCATATTAAAGATTTTATTTGAAATCAAATTTATAAATAACTCTGAATTTTAGTTATAACTAAATTTGTGCAACTAATATTGAAAATTTAAAATTCAAATCAAATATAATATTTTTTTCTTAAAAAAATATTCTTTAAACTTTCATATTATTATAAATAATTATTTTATAATAGAAAAGATTCAATTGTAGATTGAGTATTACTAAACATGAAATTTAAGTGAAGTTTAATATTTATCACTATATTATATAGAATCAAAGTCGACATAAAATATATTAATAACACATCTAATCTTATAATTCGGTTCTTAATTTCGGTTATTCGGTTCGGTACATTACGGGACGGTTCGGTTCGGTTCTCGGTACGGTATTTGTGAAATCTCCAGAACCGTACCAATTATTTTTTCGGTTCGGTTCGGTTCGGTTCAGAGAAAGTCAAGTAGTCAACGGTTATTTTTCGATTCGGAGTGATTTCGGTTCGGTTTTCGGAACGGTTTGAAATTTTCCGAGTCCCATGCTCAGCCCTATCGCCATGTAACAAAAAACTTCCACCACAAGTGGTATTACATGAAAATAGTTTTTTCCCCTCATGAGAATTTATGAAGTATTTTTCACACCGTCTAACTTTTTCATCAATTCACAAAATACGAAAGCCATTGTGAGATAAATATACAACAGTTTTGCGATGGATATAAGAATACGCGAGACTTATCCGATCTATTCTCAAATTTATGAAGTATTTTCACACCATCTAACTTTTTCATCAATTCACAAAATGCAAAAGCCATTGTGTGATAAATATACAACAGTTTTGCGATGGATATAAGAATATGCGATACGAGATTTATGCGGTCTATTCTAATATTTTTTCGCACTTTCTCGAAATGAATAAACAAAAGTGCAAAACATTCTGCGATGAATATGCATGCGACAACTATGCGGGCCACTCGCACAGCCTTCATACTCTTTAGCTTCAGTTCCTTAGGTCGCACAACCTTCATACTCTTTCGCTAAGGAAGTACGTATGAACGTTGTGTAGTATAACTTCGGTTCAAAAAGTCAATTAATCATATTAATGTTAGTAATTAATTTAATTAACAGACATCATATCTTAAACACGGAGGAGTATCGAGTAATTATATTGGAGCCTCAAATGTAATTTGAGAGTTAGAAAAACAACGGAGATAGAAAGACAACGTTGATGTAAAGAGGTGAAAATAGATAAACAAGTCTATTATTTTGTAGGCTAAACAAGATCTATGGAAATGTCTCATTTAATATATTTGTCTCGTGCGGTCTATATGTATTAGTTAAAATATAAATGAGAGTATCAATTGATTATATATATTTGCTGTAAAAGGTTGGGTAAGTGTGTGTTATTTATTTTGGTCTATATTTATCTACCAAGCAAAAACAAAATCACCACTATATAAAATTCTCGAATGCGCTAAGTCTAAGTGGTAGGTTCGTGTGCTTAGTAAACTTATTTAGCATAAATTGGTACTTTGTATTGATATATGTCAGGTTTGCTTTTGACTATTAGCCTTGCTAATTACCATAAACGATTTTAGTTTCCCTTATTTCATAAATTACCATATACTTTTTTTTCCAACGATATGAAAATATCTAATAAAAACGGGCCAAAAAGGCCAATGTACAAGGGAAAATCCCCAATTCCGAAACATAACATGAGAGGGACGCACAACTGCTCCCTAATCAAAACAGACGCAGAAAGAAAACCAAGACCACCACCCAAATACTATAAACTACAAAGCAAGATCAAAACCAGACCCTCCACAACAGCCACCCACTATCAACTCAGACAACAAGGAGCACAAATACAGCTGGAAACATACAAGATAAACAACTGACACATAAGACCTAACTTATCTCATATGCTCCTCTATAGGCCAACAGAGTTGCTCTTCTTGAAGTCCAGCCAGTCTGCCAAGGCTGCTTGAGTAATCCAGCTTTCCTCTAGCCATTTGCCCTCGAATACCCACAGATTTCTAGCTCTCCACAGCCACCATAAAATGTATGTGGAGAGCTGGATTCTTTTCTCAGCACAGTCCTCAGTAGCCATGCCACTCACCCACCACCACCATTGTTTTAGAGAAAGCTTCTCCTCCTGAACTCTACTCCAGTGAACTGGAGATAACTTCCAAACATTTCTAATCTTTCTGTATAAGAACAATCAATGTTCCTGAGATTCTTCCTCCTTCCCACAGACTCTGCAAATGGTCTCAATGTCCATCCCCCTAGCATGCAGATTACAGCCAACAGGGAGAATGTTGGAAAAGCACTGCCAAGTAAAACAATTTCACCTTTCCCATAACTTTGAGGCTCCAGCATCTTCTCATAGCTTTCCTGTTCCTGCCAGCCAAGTCACTAGATTCAGTAATTGGTTTCAGCCCCATTTTAACAGACAATAGTTTACAATAAGCTTTCTTAACAGAGAACATTCCTTTCAACACAGAAGAGCACTGCCATTGGTCAGAAATACTGTGGTTTAAGGACTTGATCAATAAGATCTTCTCAGCGTCATCCTATGCAAACAATACTCTAATAAGATTCTCATCCCACTGAACTCCATCAGCTAAAAGCAGATCTTTAACCCAGAACAGGTTACCATCCACAGCCACTCTCAGATTAGGCTTTCTGCAAGACAACCCAGAGACCCAATTTGTCTCAAAAATTCGAGTGGTCTGCCCATTTCTAATAACAATACTCACCTGTTTCTGCAGCTCAGGCAAGAGAGAAGCCCAAGAGTTCCAAAGCCAAGAAACACCCCCAGAGTTTTTCCAATCAAATATAGAGTTGTTTTTAAAATATTTACTTCTGAGAACTTTGCACATAAAGGTGTCAGGCTGCTCAATAAGCCTCCACAGCTGCTTGATGATTAATGCCTTGTTAAAAAGTTGCAGATCCAGAAACCCCAAACCCCCATCATCTTTAGGTGCAGTCAACTTATCCCATGAAAGCCAGTGCATACTCATCTTCTGTGCATCTCCTTTATTCCACCAAAAGTTGGAAACAATTATGCAGATTTCTTACACAGTTTGACATGAAGAATAAAGCAAGACATCACAAACACAGGCAGAGCACAAAGCACAGACTTTACCTACTCTTGCCTTTTTTATTTAATTCATATATTAGTTATTATAGATATGTATTTTTTTTATTTTTTAAACTTTATAACTTATTTTTGTGTATTTTATTTTTTATATATGATCTACAAAAATAATCACATTTTAACGATTTTCAATTTGACATTCATATTGCATATATAAAGGAAATAATAATTTTATTTATATTTATAAATAAATTAATTTTATTATCAGCTCAATTTTAAAATACTTCAAATAACAACATAAATTATTTTATATAAATAATAAAAGTCTAGTTCATAAATACATCATACAATAATACTTTTATTTTTTTTTTCATAATTTTAAGAAATATTATAAAATATTATTTCTCATATTTAAATAGATTATAAAAAATTGAATATTATTATTAAAGATTAAATATAAAAAAAATATCATAACTGAATATAATAAAATAATTTTGTATCTCATAAATTTAGAAATAATAAATTTCTACGTAAATTCCATATTATGAATTATATGAATTTAAAATATTTTAAAAATTAATAGACGTGAGACACTGACTTTATACATATAAAATATAATCACAATACAATAAAACTTGTTTTGTTTAGAAAAAAAAAATAAAGCAAATCAAATATATGGAATTGTAAATAATATTAGTTTTATACATATATAATTTTAAAAATATAAATAAACGTTATCTTTTTTTTACTAACTTAGTGTAAAAATACAGTCACCATTTGAATTAATTATCATTTTGTTTGTTATTTATTAATGTTGCATATTCATCATATAAAATTTCACAATAAAAATATAAGCTATCTTAACTTTTAATGTACAAATATTAGTATATTTAATTACCTGTGTATATGATATAAAATTTGTATATAATATAAATGTTACTCCTCGTATAAAATTTGAACCATAAATCAAGTTGTATAAGATATAAAATGTATTATATAATCTCTGAGAATACTATCATCCCGTTACGGGATGGTTCCGTTATATTTTGTAAGCGTTGGATTATCTACACATTATCAGATTATGTGTATATATATGGCTAAAATGTATAACTCCCGTAACCGGATGGTAGTATTCTCCTATACTCTCTTGACTAGTACAACACCCGTGTATTATATGGGTGCTTGTTAAAAATTATTCTTAAATTTTAAAATTAATAAGAAAACTATATTAAATTTAGATTAATTTTTTATAAAAAATATATTACTATATATTTTAGAATGATATGTGTTACTTATGACTTACATGTGTTATATTATATTATTTTTTATAACTTATATCATATAACTACTTGAAATATAAATATATTAGTTGATAAATAATTTTATTTTTCTAATTAATATTATGGATAATAAAATTATTTTTTTATACATACAATATGGATGTTAATTCGAAACTCATCAAAAGAAGATCAATTTGATATATTACATACTAGTACAACGCCCGTGTATTACACGAGTGCTTGCTAATTTTTTTCTTAAGATCTAAAATAATAAGAAAAGTAATTGAAAATTTAAATATCTTTTATAAAAATATATATATTTTTTATATATTTAGTATGACATTTTTTATTTGTACGACTTACCTGTGTTATATTATAATAACTTTTTTAACTTATAAATATAACTACATTAAGCATAAATATATCAATTGAGAAATAAATTTATTTTTTTAATGAATTTTAATAAATATTATTATTTTTTATTATTATAAAGATAAATATAATTTATTTATTTCATATATACAATATGGATGTCAAATCGAAGATTATCAAAAGATAATTAATTTGATTTATTATATATGTAAAACCGATAAAAAATAAAAAAGTCATCAACTTTTAAAATAAATTTACAATTCAATAGTTAATTGAAGGAAACTAATCAAAAGTCAAGGATATATTAGTCACTTAGTGCCTCACTATGTATAATTACAAAAAATTATAGGGTTATGTTAGTACAAGTGATATTAAAATATCTAAGTTAACTAAATACTATTTATATAATGTCTGAACCTAGATTATTAATTATTAATATATCAATATTATTTGTCCAAACCTAATTACGAAGCATGATTCTTCGCCAAGTAGGATTCCGAAGCACCAGAAGCAGTCACGTAGGCTCATCGCATTCGGGAATTATATATAGGGGTGATGTAAAACTGATAAAAAATACAAAAGTTATTAACTTTTAAAATATATATACAATTCAATAGTTATAATATTGAATGATATTAAAATGCAATTAATACATGTAACATGACCATAAATAATCAACATATTTATGGTAATCCGAACCTAATTATTTTTTGTTTGAAATTAAATTAAAATTTACCCAAGCCTAATAACGAATCATGTAATTTTGTCAATTCCGAAACATCAGAAGCAGCCACGTAGGTTCAACGCATTCTGGATTAATATATAGGGGGATTTGCAAATCATCATGTGAGATTCCCTCATTTACCCCCAATTAGTAATTACATATCATTTCCTATAATTAGATTTGCTATTCCCTTATTTAGTGCCAATTAGTAATTACATATGATTTCCTATAATTAAATTCGCAATTCCTTTATTTACTGGCAATTTATTAGTAAAACCATATGTAATTGATGCAATTAATTTTTTTTTTTTTACAGACAGTATAAATATGTAAGATGGAGCTTGGATACATCCAATTAATTACCATAGCATCATACTACACACTATACTCTCTACTACAAATTTTGTCTCTCGCTGCCTTTAATCAAAATGTTCAACTTTAGTCGTTACTTGCTTTTAGCGATATTTGCTATGTGTAGCATTCCGATCAATTCCGAGTCATTCAATGCATCTACGAGCGCGACTTTTGAAACCGCGGTCGCGACTTGGTATGGGAGTCCGACGGGCGCAGGAAGCGGTATACATTTGTACTCTAATTAAGGGAAATGCTAAGCTCCCGTTACGCAATCATTCCGTCGAAATTTGTAACCGTTCAATCATTATGTAACCGTAAAAAATAGTTGATGAACGGTTAATATATAAGATTTATATTGTTTGCATGCATTGCAATTTGCAGGAGGAGCCTGTGGATTTGCGGATGACGTGGCATCTCCTCCATATAACGGCTTGATATCTGCAGGAAACAACGTTTTATTTAAATCCGGAAAAGGCTGCGGCTCTTGCTATCAAGTATTCTGATCTATCACTAACTCATATTTAATTTACTTGTAAATAATATACCTAGTTGTTTAATTAATTTAATTAATAAATTAATTGTAAGCTTCCCATTTTTTTTTTTTTAAAAAAAAAGGTGAAATGCACGCAAAATTCAGCATGTTCGGGACGACCGATAACCGTGACAATCACAGACGAATGTCCGGGCGCGTGTAATAACGATGAAGTTCATTTCGACTTGAGCGGAAAAGCTTTCGGCTCGTTAGCTAGGGTCGGCCAAGAGAACGCTTTACGACAGGCTGGGAGGATTAACATCCAATATCAAAGGCATGCATATAAAAATTTTGGATTAATTTTCTAATAATTAGATATTTTTTTTTTAGTTGTACGCACGTAAATATATTAATATTTGAACATGTGCAGGGTGAAATGTGGGTACAAGGCGGGTCTAACGTTTAAAATCGATGAGGGATCGAACCAAAACTATCTAGCTTTTGCGGTGGAAGATGAGAACGGCGATGGTGATGTCGGTGGAGTCGAGATTTTGGGTTCGAATTCGGGGGCACAATGGGTGGGTATGGGGCAATCTTGGGGTGCAACATGGAAAGCTCAGCTGGCTAATGGCGCGAGAGGGCCTTTTTCGGTGCGGCTAACTTCTCTCGAAAGCGGGACAAAGGTAGTGGCGAACAAAGTCATCCCGGCTAATTGGGCTCCCGGACAGCGCTATAGCTCACGTGTCAACTTCCGTTGATTGTGATGATAGTCTTACTTAAGTTTTAGTTAGACATAAATAGTTGTTATTATTATTATTATTATTAAGTTATGAGGTCATTATTATCAGAGGAATAAAGGTTTGGTTTGATTAAGGTTGTTGTCGTTATATATGCTCTAATTTAACTCTTGAATGCATCTGTTAAAATTAAATTAATATTGTACCCAAAAAAAAAAATTAAATATAATAATTATCCTACCAAAATTTTATTATTTCAATATTTATAGAAAAGACTAATATTATCGTGATTGCAGATTTTTCGTAATCCGAAATGATGTCATTTTGATTTGTAAATATTTTTAAAATTATATCATTTTCTTATCCGATCCATAGCGTTTTTAGGAAAGAACTAAATTTTATAATTGCAAATTCGGGAAAAATATAATTGCGGATCATTAATTATGACAATAAATAATTTTCAATGATCTAAAGCAATTTTAGAAATTTTAGTAATTATTATGAATGTGAAATTATATATTTTAGACTTAGTTATATTTTTTTTTTTACCTTCTGTATAATTAGTGCTATGGAGCCATCAAATGGTTCATTTATAGAGTCATCCATAACATGTAAAATCGTAAGAAAGAACTCTAAGATTGTTTTATTTGCACTATACAATAAATTCAAAATATCATGGAAATTTTGATTTGTTGAAGATTAATCGAATAAAAATAACACATTTGACAATCAACTATATACCAATTTTTTTTTTTTTTTTTTTT